ACCCTGTTTTCCCTCCCTTCCTACTCCCTCCCCCCGCCCCAGGAGCCTACAGTCAACACAAATAGCTATTATATAAAGTAAAAAGAATAAGAGCCCTAACACATACAGAAAAAATCTGTGTGTGAATTTCAGGGCTGCGCAGATGTACGTGATAACGTCTGACTAACATATGTTAAGTGTATTCTGTGTCCTAGGACTGTGATTCACATACATTATTTCTCTTAACTCACAACAGGCAGATATTATTTCAGTTTTACAAAGGAACTACTTGAGGCTCAGAAAGGTCATCAATTTAACTATTTAAGGCCTGTCACAGCAAGTAAGTAAATGCATTCCAAGGGAAGTGGTGCGTATGCAGGCAGGAGGAGCCTAGGAAGAAAGAAGAAATCAGAAAAGGCTCCACAGTGGAGGTGGCATTTAACTCCAGCTTTGAAGAATGGCTCAGATTCCAACAAGAAGAGACACAGCCCAGAGAAATGAGGCAGCAAAGTGAGGAATTGACAGCAGCTGTCACTTTGAGAAATTTTTTTTTTCAAAGTTTTTATTGATTTCAGAGAGAGGAAGGAAGAAGGGGAGAAGAGATAGAAACATCAATGATGAGCCCGGCCGGCATGGTTCAGTGATTGAGCATTGACCCATGAACCAGGAAGTCAGGGTTCAATTCCCTATCAGGACACCTGCCAGGGTTTCAGGCTTGATTCCCACTAGGGGGCGTGCAGGAGGCAGCCGATCAATGATTCTCTCTCATCACTGATGTTTCTATCTCTCTTTCCCTCTCCCTTCCTCTCTGAAATAAATTATATATATATGAAATCCATCAAAAGGGGAGTGATTGAATAAATTAGAATATGATTAAGAGTACTGAAATGGAGAGATCACCCAGGATTATCCAGATGGGCCCTAAATGCAATCACAAGTGTCCTTATAAGAAAGGCGGAGAAAGACTGGACATAGGAGAGGAGGCAGTGTGGCCACGAAGGCAGAGATGAGAGTGCTGTGGCCACCAGCCAAGGACTCCCTGGAGCTGGAAGAGACAAAAAGAATTCTCCCCTGAACCTTCTAGAAGGAACCAGCCCTGTCAACACTTTAATTTTAGTCCCAGAAGACACTTCAGACTTCTGATCTGTAGAACTGTAGGAGAATGAACTTCTGCTGTTTAGGCCATTACATTTGTGCAATTTATTCCAGCAGCAATAGGAAATGCATACACGACTCATTTCTCAGGCCTTGGCTCAGACCTCCAGGAGACCTTCTGCGACACGCCTAGGGTAGATGCTGTCCCCCACACCCTCTCACCCACAGCATGGTCTCAGGGTTGGTGTGCTTTACTGGACAGTGAGCTCCCTGAAGACAGACGCCCTGTCTCATTCATATCTCCGGCCTGAGCACCCAGCATGGCGCCTGGTATGACGTCAGCATTTGGTGAATGTCTGTGAGACCATGAATGAGGAAAGGGAGATAAATTGGATTTGTTCTAATTTATCAAGACACTGGGTCTTTATCCAAGACTAGACAGTTAACTTTAGCTCTTGACTTTGACTCAAGTTAAAAATGACATCATCCAAAGCGAGATTTTTGTCCACTCTATGAAAGCAAGGTTTGCACAACGTTTGGCAGCTGCTGGCACTGCCGCTTATTTGGCTTTTCGATTTGGGGCTGCCTGCAAGAAAATACTGATTGTTTAACATCACCTCGGCCTGCGTCCGCCTTCAATGATCAGTTGTGATCAAAATAAGTTTACCCTACACAGCAGTCCAGAACAATTTCCTTCTTTTCACTTTCCATTTGAAAATCAGAAACATTCATTTTTAGAACCATTTTTATTAGCCTTTTTTTTGGGGGGGGAGGGGGGTATTGGCTACTGTTATGTACTGTTTGGTATTGGATCTAATGGGCAAAGTATAAGCATTATATTCCAAGTCACTATCATCTCTTCTTTCAAAATTAAAACTCTCTTCCTCACCTTCCTCTCCTTTAAGTGGCTGCCAGCCTCTCTTCTCCTCCCCCCGCTCCCCCCGCAACTCTGTGATATTTCTTAGTACACCATTCCCTTCTCAGACATACAGTGAAGAAAATTCTTTAAAAGGGACGCTTTTCATATGCTACTTGGAGACAGTCGATGACAACAGAGAGCTATGAAAAATTACATCAGAGAGGAGATATTTGCTCAAGGTCATTGAGAGAAAAAGTAGCAGAGCTGGATTCTTCCCAGGCCAACCACAGGCCTGTGTAAGCCCTTTGCACTCATCGCTTTAGAGTGAAAAACCTCACATACTAGTAGTCCCTGCTACCAAAAAATTATTAAGATAAAGCATGTACGCTGTCTTAGGAAAATAAAACAAGAAAAAGGCTTTTTAACAAAAAGCAGCAGTTCTCTGCCTTACACCTCCTCTCAGTCCCATGCTCCAAATAGAACCATTTCCTGTTATTGTGGTAAAAGAGACAATAGAATTTAACATGTTAAACATGTTAGGTGTGCCGCTCAGTAGGATTAAGCGCAGTCACATTGTTGTGTAACCATCCATCTCCAGAACTTTTTCATCTTCCCCAGGCCACCCTCCCTCCAGTAACCATCATTCTACTTCCTGTCTCTATGAATGTGACTCTCTAGGTTCCTCATATAAGTGAAATCACACAGTATTCATCCTTTTGTATCTGGCTTGTTTCACTTTAGTGTATGCTTTCAAGGTTCATCCCTGTTGTAGCATGTGTTAGAATTTTCTTCCTTTATAAGGCTGAATAATATCCTTTTTCTTTTTTAAATGAATTTTTATTGATTTCAGACAGGAAGGGAGAGGGAGAGAGATAGAAACATCAATGATGAGAGAGAACCATTGATCGGCTACCTCCTGCATGCCCCACATTGGGGACTGAGCCCACAACCCGAGCATGGGAACCTAACCGAGAATCAAACCATGACCTCCTAGTTCATAGGTCGACGCCAGCCAGGCCAAGGCTGAATAATATTCTATTGTTGTGTAAGGGTGGAGCAAATGTAGGTTTACAGTCATTCATATGGAAAATAGTACTATATATATATATATATGCAAATTGTCCCTGCGGGAGTTCAACCAGGAGACCAATCGCTCGCTATGATGTGTGCTGACCACCAGGGGGTGGTGCGGAATGAAGGAAGGCCCTGGCTGGCAGCTGGGGAAAGGGGGCCCTGCCTGCAGCCGGAAGGAAGGCCCCAGCCAGCACCCGGAAGGCCCCGATGGGCCCTGATCACTGGCCAGGCCTAGGGACTCTATCCGTGCACAAATTTCATGCACTGGGCCTCTAGTAATTAATAAATAATAATACAAGAATAAACTCTGGTGTTTTGCATACTCACAACTGTAAACCTGCTTGTGCCCCACCCTGTATAACATATTTTATTTATCCATTCATTGAAGAACATCTGGGTTGTTTTGTCTTTTGGCTGTTAATAATACTATGAACATTGGTGTACAAATGTCTGCTCGAATCCCTACTTTCAAATCTTTATATTTTTAATTCTTACGTGAGGATATTTTTTCCATTGATTTTTCAGAAGGAGTGGAAGGGAGGAAGGAGGGGGGAAGAGAGAGAGAGAGAGAGAGAGAGAGAGAGAGAGAGAGATTGACTGGTTGCCTCCCGCATGGGCCCCCAAAAGGGCCAGGGATCAAACCGGTGACCCTCTAACCACTGAACAAACCTGGCCAGGGCCCTACTTTCAATTCTTTTGGACCCATACCCAGAAGTAGAATTGCTGGATCATGTGGTAAATTCTGTTTTTAATTTTTTGAGGAACGGTCAAAAAATCAAATTTTTTCCATAGCAACTGCACCATTTTACATTTTTACCAACAGTGCACAAGTGTTCCAACTTCTCCACATCCTCACCAACACTTGTTTTCTGTTCTTTTGAATAGTCATTCTAATGGATATGAGGAGATTTCTCACTCTGGTTTGGATTTGCATTCCCCTAATGACTAGGAATGTTGTCATTACTAGAGCCTATTGGCCATTCGTATATCTTCTTTAGAGAAATGTCTATTCAAGTCCAAAGGAGAACATTTTGAACTATTTTAGCCATTTCTGCTTATCATCTTCTGTGATTTACTTCCAAACAACATAGTTATACAGCTATTTCTTGGTTTTGTTTGATAGGTAAGAATTTGTACTTCCATCTCTCGTCCCCAAGTCCTCCCAAACAGTTTTGCTGTTATTTTGTATATATATGGCTGCCTTTGTAACTCTGAATAACATACTCCTATTTTTTTTTATAGCAAAGATGGAAATTTATTGAAGAACAAGTACAGACTCCCACGTGGGGAGGGGGAAAGAGTCCCCCATACTCCTTTATTTCATGTCCCACCATTGATAGGCCGGGTCTCCTGACACCTTGATTTATAAGGCAAGACCATGTGCCTCCACTCCCTCCCCATCTCTTGCCCTCTACCTCTCAACGGCAGCTGGGTGTGACTGCCAGCTTCAGAGTATTTACATCATTTCCTCACTATGATGACATCTTCCGGACTTTTTTCATAGGCTGAGAATAAGAATTTTAAAAATCTGTAGGTGGTGTTTACAGTTTAAGCCATTTTTGAAGCACAGATGGGAAGGATATTGACAAAGGGGAGGGACTAAGGGCTTTCTCAGAGTAGCCAATGGCATGCGCAAAAGCATAGGGACCATGTACTGTGTGAGTCATGTCCAGCTCACAGCAGATGTGCTCCGTTCAGGCAGAAAGACCCTCGGGGAGCTAGGAGGAATGGAGTTGGTTGAAGAAAGAGGGAGGCAAGTTGAAGGGCCTGAATGGTCCATGTGCCCTGTTTTTCCCACTCCCAGAATTCCGGTCCACATGGCTCAATACAAAGACTCGGGGACTTACACATCAGGTATGTTCACTACCCTTTCTCCCAGCCTTTCTCCCCGCCACCTCCCA